ACAGCATATTACATATTAACAGATATTGTATTTTTTTTTATCAGGATTTATTATGGGAGGCATTAAAGGATGGACACATTGATATGGTTGTGTCTGACCACTCTCCATGTACTGCTGATCTAAAAGTCTTAGACACAGGTGACTTCCTGTGTGCTTGGGGAGGCATTGCTTCAGTGCAATTAGGTATGTACCAACAGAAACACATCACATGATCATATTACCGGCTATCGGTACGGCAGATGCAATAGGTAACACACGTGACAGATAAAATCTGTTCCACGCGATAACAATATCTATTGTATTGCAACGGCAGCCAGAACAACTGTTGTACGTGATAGCGATAACCATTGTTTTAAGTGGAGAGGAGGGAACTGGATCGAAACCCTTGGGTAGCGAAGATGTGTTTAGCCGATAGTGTTAATGTTAGGGTGGTAAAAGGGTGTGAGAAATAATTAATAAATACAAAGAATTTGAAGCATTTGAAGCATTTAATGTAACCTGTCACAGCAGGTATAAACAAACAATTGCTAACACTAAGGATTTCATGTCTGCCTTAAAGATACATGTATTGCTGAAGTTAATTTGTCTATACTTTCATGACTTTGGTCAAAATAAAAAAAAAACAAATTGGTGTATAGTTTCGCTACCTTTTCTATTTTTTGCCTCTAAATTCCTTACCTGAAGTTTATTTGTACTTGCTTTTGGAAGTGAATGGTGTACAGTAACCCATCGTATACTCAAGCTGAGACTACTATAACACTGTGTTACAGTAGTCTCAGACTCAAAGGAAAAACATTAGTTAATTGAAAAAAAAACTTCCTATCTACCTACTATTTTTCGCGGAAAGCCTAAACACAGTGACAGATACTTGTTTGTTTCACTTGATTAAGTGCATTATAGCTTTTGGGTAAATTGTCTCCGTTCTGGTGACTAAATTTGTTAGCTAAGTGAATAGTTAATTCGGTTTAATTAGCAGCAATAAAAACAGAAACAAACTGGCCTTAGTTGGAACTATTCTGCGTTAAAAAATCTATTTATAGAGACGGTAGCGGTAATCTGTCTGCTTAATCTTTGATTTTGTCATCAACTTCGAGAATTATTTAAGGTTAAACACATAAAAATCTTAGAAAGTGTATCCTATATTTGATAGATATTATACAGACGACAGTCATCCTTTTGTCGTCTGAAGCAGACAAGACTAGTTTTAATATCACTTGTAAATTCATTTAAAGTATATAAACTATGTATGTCTAAGAAGCGTAGGAGTCGGGGGGGGGGGGGGGGGGAAGGGGGGTGACCCCCAACTTTAAAAATTGGTGAGGGCAACACTTTAATTTTTGAAAAATAAAAAAAAAAAAAATTGAAGACACTGACTAAATCTAGACAATTAGATTTATAGAAAAGATTTTTTTTTCTTTGTAACTTTCGGAACCCTCCCCCTCTTTTCGGTCTACTGCTATGTCACTGATTCTAAAATATTTATCTGAGACCAGTTTCAAGGAATAATCGCATAATTTTTCGAAAATTTATTCATATTTAAGCTAAAATTTAATGCAAACTAATGTTGGTTTGATTATGCCAGCATGAGATATGTGTTTTTAGTTTTTTTTCTCCTGTACAAAAAACTAGGGGGGATTTTCTCAATGAGAATATGAATACCATCCAGACCCTCTTATTTGTATTAGTGTCAGAGAAGTGATATTTTTTGCTTCGCATCACGGTGCGGAGCTATTAGTTTCAGTCGAAATACACGCCATCTTGAAATAGTTACTTATCACATATAGATTCTGATTGGTTGCTTTATGATGTGGCTGAGACACAGCAACAGCTATTGGCTTAAATGAGATAAAGAATTACAGACTTTTCTCGTCTCAGGATAAGACATCAAATGCCGGAAAATTAACTATGTGTATTTCAGTTCCGATCAACTGTCATTGATTCATGTTCGTTTTATTATGCATATATTGCACACTGAAATTCAATATTGAAATATCAATTATTAATACGTGTTTATTTGCTTTGTTACTCTGCAATATGCAAGATTTGTTTTGCTAAACAATGTTCCTATACAATGTTTACAAAAATGCATAATCTGTATTTTATAACTTCTGCCAATCTAGGCACACCTCCAGAGTCGTGTCTATTTGTAAATAATTTAATTTTGGATGTAAAGCGTCTTCTGATTGGCTGGCGTTGTTTTATTTATCAGTTCATAGACATAATTTTGTCATGTGACCGTGACGTCAACAACGTTTTTTCATGGTTTACTCCGGTTTAAAATGGAATTTAGAATGTTACAAATTAAAACATTTAAGAAATGACTGTAATATTTTTTCTGTCTATTCGAAATAACATAAAAAATGTGGTGCACACTTTAAAATAACCCGCTACGCGGGTTATTCAGTGTGCACCACATTTTTGATGTTATTTCTTCATAGACAGAAAAAATATTACAGTCATTCCTTAAATGTTTTAATTTGTAACAAGAAAAGTGAACAAAATGTTAAAAGCATGGGTGTTTAACGCACAACACTGAACAGCCAGTTTAAAATTTCAGAAAAGTTCATCTTAATATATATACAAAAATTGATATTCCAAGTCTAAGACATCCATTTTATATCAATCAATATCTAAAAATACCACATTTCCAGTACTAAATCAACAACCACATGCACACATATTACTTTAGATTAGGATAGAGCGAAGCAGTCCACACCGTTTTAGAAAGGTCAAACTTGTAAATGGTTAAATTTACTTTACGGTGATACTGTTTCAGGTCTCTCTTTATTTTGGACAAACTGCCTTCGACATGACATGACCCTAGTAGATTTAGTTCAGTTGCTATGCAGAAAGACAGCAGAAATGGCCAACCTAGGACACAGGAAAGGCGCTATAAAGGAGGGGTACGATGCAGATTTCGTTGTTTGGGATCCTGATTCAACATTTAAGGTAATTTGAATGATACTCGCAGAACAATGTTTTAAATATTTGGAATATATAGATTTAAGAAGATGTGGTATGAGTGCCAATGAGACAACTCTCCATCCTAGTCACAATTAATAAAAGTAAACCATTATAGGTCAAAGTATGGTCTTCAACACGGAGCCTTGGCTGTCTTTTTCAATATATCACTTTCAAAGGCTTGAAGTTTAAGGAGGAAATTCTTCAATTTTCATTCACTGATGTAATTCCTAAATCACTGGACAGCTGATTCATTATTTCTTTCAATATGTTTTACAGGTGACAGAGAAGAATATTCATTTCAAGAACAAGGTATTGTATTATTAGAGAAAACATTTATGTAGAAGAAGTGTGTTACGATATTTCTCCTCTCGAGACAGTTAAATTTTATTATTTAAAGTGCAAGGCTTGCCGAGCTTTTTAAATATTTAAATTTTACTGTTGAGATTGGAGAAATATCATAAAACAGACACGTGTTGCAGTTATGGAATCTATATGTCTGCTACATAAATGTTTTCTCTAATTGAACTGTCAATTGAACAACACACACACACACAACTAAAACTACAGATTTCAAAATCTCATATGTTGGTTTGAACTGACATCAGCTTGAAAATGTGCATTTTCGGAGGCTGCACGACAATGGATAATTAAATTGTTTGATAAGCGAATAATTTATTAAAAACGTTAGTTGGTTGAAAATCTACTTGAAACGTAATGCGCAACAAATTCTCTGAAATGACAAATACCTTACAGATTTATTTGGACCAATGTCAAGAATACTGGTATGAAAACATTTACGTGTGTAGTATTCCATCAAATATTCCAGTTTGAAAAGGTGGGTACTAAAATCTGGTATTCACGATTAAGGTGACAACGAGTTTACCTATATAAGTGGGTCTAGTGTCACGCTTTTTGTACGTTAAATAGCTCTTGCACCAATTTTCTCTTTAAGGGTCCGTGGGTGTCCTGTTGTATGGTAAAACTTTTACCCTAACCAAGATACCGTAATTTTCCAAATCAGTCCAAACCCGTCCTTCTAATTAAACGACCTTCCTATTGTAATCATTGTCGATTTATTCTTGTTCTAAATATGCATGAAATATTGGCCACTGGACGCTAGGCAAACATTAATCAATTATTTAACCATAGCATTGGAAGGCAAACGCATAACACATTAAAGAGTAGCTACACTAAAGAATTCCTATTTGAAGTAAAAAAATATTGAAAAGATAATTTAAAAGATATAGGCCAATATTAATTTTCAGATAACTCCATACATGGGCAAAGAACTAAAAGGCGTCGTGCAATCGACTATTGTACAGGGAGTGACAGTTTATGATTGCGGAGAATTTTCTGAGTCACCTCGAGGTCATTTTTTGCTGAACGAAAAAAATAAAACCCAATCAGTTCTCTGATCTGGACATTTTTGCGGGAATTAGCATAAAAATCTCATATTGTGAACAAATATTTATTTTGTTATAAATAAATTTTGAAATACATAGTTTGTCATGACTGGCACGAAAGTAAAGACTCATCACTCATTATTTTTGTGTATAAACATCTTAATATATCTGGATTCTAGTACTAAACTAATGACTCACGACCCATGACGGGTGCCACATGTGGAGCAAGATGTGAGTGCTCGTCCAAGACCCTTAGTTAAACTCCACATTTTTGTTGGGTTTGTATTGTTCAGTCTCTAGTTTTCTATGTTTGTTCGTCTTGTCGTCATTCTTCTGGTCCTATTCTGTTTCTTAAAGGGGCCTCGGTGGCCAAGTGGTCTAAGTAGTTCAAATACTGTATCACTAGCCAGCCAACACTGAGGTTTTGAGTTCGAATCCCGCACGGGGCAGGTGTACTCGACTCCAATCTTAATTGACTAGGATGTCAGTTTTCCTACCGAAGGTCGGTGGTTCTCTCCGGGCACTCCGGCTTCCTCCACCAATAAAAACTGACCGCCACGAAATAGCACAACAGTGTTGAAAGTGGCATTAAACAAAAGTCAATCAATCAATGTTTCTTTAAAATTAAGTGTCTCTTTATAGTAAATTGAATGATCCCCTTAGTTTGTGCATTCGTGATCTGAATGTATACCAATAAACTGATTATTTGATCAACTAAATCTACTTATCATCCAAGCACGTGTCATATAGGAGTATGAGCAAATGCTAGATGGCTCAAAGTCAGAACAGAAACAAAGTGATATGTCTTTCTGCGAACCTGTGGGCTACAGCACAGACATATTCAGCTCAGCATGTCGGTTTAGACCAAAGCAAGGCATATTTATATCTCATTAGGATGTAATCGTTCTGAATATGCATGAACTATTTTCCGCTGGACGTGAAGCATACATTTGTACATCTAACCATCCATTAAAACTAGAATACTTCGTACATAGATAAACTCGCGGTTTGTGTTATATTATTCTTGGGTTGCACTACCTTATTAAACAGTATTGCATGCAAATACTGTTACTAGTGCGATCTGGTAAGCCCTGCGTTTACTGGTTCTATGCATATGAAAAATATTGTTCCTTTAATATGGCAATCACGATGATTTTATTGAATTACCTATTGAAAAAATAGTTGTTTTTGTTAAATCTTTGGGATACTGCATTTAAATTTTTTTTTATTACATATTTTCAAGACCGCTCGCCTCCTTTATAATTGGATTTGAAAATAAATTATATTCATGAATAGCAATACAATTGACTGGAGGAGATCAAATTCGATTTTTGAAATTAATTGACAGTTTATTATTTTTCCTTTTTCACAAAAGTTTAATGCGTGTTCTGCATGAAGATCCAAATTTTACCTCGCGAGCAGATACGGTCAATTCCGTCTTGCCAAAATTATAATTTACTATCACAGTGCGGTTTTCCTCAGAAGGCTGTGGTATATCTACTACGACTTCGCCGAACTTGGAACACCCCTCCTCGTCTACGTATTTTGGGTTTTCTTTGCTGCTGACATACAGCGTTATTGGCATTGCAGTTTGAAACGGATACATAGTAAAGTATGTTCTCTGAATTTCAGAACCTATCACGGCCTGCGTATGCTGATGTATAATAAAGTCAAAAACTTCACATTTTTCTTTCCCTTGCATAATTTCTTTCCGAGCTAGGTCATGAACATATGGATCGAAATCTACATATGAATCTGTTCCGTAAGAATACCGGATGACACGACTCGCTATGAACTCTGGGTGATGCCCATACAAAACAGCTCCTTTCAGCACCGATATTCCGGAATCTTCAGGAACAATAACTCTTTTCTCTGGAAATGCTTGTTTCAATGCACTCTGAATAAGCTTGCATTCAGAAAATCCCCCGACCATAACAATCAAAGGTATGTCAGTCGTCTGCAATTGTGTGTTCATCTCTTTCACTAAAGCTGTGATTTTTTCGATTGGTTTTATAAATAATGATTTTATTAGGTCGGCGTCAATTCTGATTTTGTCCCCTCTGATAAGAATTTTGTTTCTGAACGAGGACTTCTGGATAAGTTCTTCTAACTCACACCTCTTCTGCTTTTTACAAATTGAGTTTATGGTAGAGAGTGGTATACAAAAGTTTACTTTCCCAATTGAAGAAGAGTCGATTTTCCGTTTTACTGTTTCAAATTCTCGGATAAGATCCAGATATGATGAAGGGTCTTCCTTTTTAAGTTTGTTGATCATTGCAAACCCTACGATTTTGTCAAACAACCTGATAAACGCGGCATCAACGGAAGTTCCACCACAATCTTCGCCATTTGCACGGCAGAGTTCCTTTATACTTCCATCTTTGTGTTTCTCATGAACTGTCAAATCTGCAGTGCCCCCTTCAAAATAAAACCAAATACGGTATAAATTCATTATTCTTTAAATTCCATGGAAATTATACAAAAGTGTTAGGATAATTCCTTCAAAATAAAATCAATTAAGATATAAATGCAATATTCTTTTAATTCCATAAAATTAAAAAAAGTATTATGATAATTCCATGGATTTCAAAAAGTATTAGGATAATTTCATGTAATTCAAAAGTATTATGCCGATGATACATGTAGTTCCGTGGACTTCCAAAGTATTGTGATAATTCCATGGAATTCAAGAGTATTGGGATAATTTCATGTAATTCAAAATTATTATGATATATGTAGTTCCATGGACTTCCAAAGTATTGTGATAATTCCATGGAATTCAAGAGTACTATGATAATTCCATGGAATTCAAGAGTATTATGATAATTCCATGGAATTCAAAAGTACATGTATTATTATGATTATGCATTTGTCTCTAATCATTTGAATATTTCACAATCTGAAGAGTCTGTCAGTGGCGGATCCAGGATAGGTCGTAGAGGGCGTACGCCCCCTTTGATCGCCATACAAATTTAAAATCCCATGTTTCTAATGATTTATATGATTGTTTTAGCATAAAATCGTCAAAATTTTTTTAGCATAAAATCGTCAAAAAAATTCGCAGTATCTTTTTTACGTTTTCGGGAATCACCCTTTCAAAAATCCTGGATCCGCTCATGTTTGTGTTACAAACTTGTAGGATATTTTCCCCAACTAAAACCTTAAACAAATAAGATAATAATTATAAAAAAATTAAGATAACTTAAAGTCATATTTTAGAATTTTATATCATGTTTTGATTTGTAAACGAATTAGAAAAAAAAATATCGTCTTGAGATCGGAATTAATTTTGTCAAAGTGATTTATAAATGTACCATTTTGCCTAAGTTTATCAGTTGAATTTTATATGATTTTTTTCTTGCCCCTCCCCATCCGTTAAGATGTGTTTACAGAAATTTGAATAAGGTGGTTGGTTGACAGAAAAATCGAACAAGATGTAAAACTAAATATTGTAAAAATATATTGGCCGTGCATGGTTATAACTGACCCAAGAGCTTCAGAAGAAAAGACTAATCATGATAACAACGTACAAAAGAAGCAAAATGATTTGAAAAAGATTCATATAGAAGAGGGTCTGGGTGGAGTGTCCTTCAATTCTGTATTCTTTAATTTTAATGACATTTTTCTCTCCATTCTTTATATTTTTTCTCTCCATTATTATCTATTTTTTTTTAATTTTTGCCTTTTGTTTTTCGCCCCCTTTTCCGTAGCATTATACTCTATTCTGTTAACCCCAACCATCCCCTGATAGAACCGTTGGCCAATGAGAACTTGAAATAATCTAACCTCCGAGATCGACAATCATGTATATCACCCCATCATCACCGAGGTTTACAGAGTTGTCTTTCCCTGTCAATTTCTCTTTCGGTAAATACTGGCAGTGAATAGAAGCAGCTTCCGGCTCAAGAGCAATTAATAAGTTATCACCTTGTATATCTGCCTATAAAACAAGAAAAAGAAAAGGATAGGATATGCTTTCAAAATGCATTCTTAAAATGTACAACGAAAAAAATAGAGAAGCTGGAGTAATCTACTTGTATAGATTTCAAATCAATTCAGTTCAATATTTTATCGCCATTAAATACTTGATATAAGAAATTGTGACAAGTATATAACAAGAGATCACAATTTTAAGTTATTTTTTACAAAATTGATAAAAAAAAAAACAGGACAGTTTCCAATACATAAGAAATTATTAAATTTATCGTGACTTCTCAAATGCCACAATTAGTAAAAGACAACGGATTTGTCATTGAAACGAATAATATAAGAATGTGCTTGTTTAAGAGACGAATGAATTTGACTACAATTGATGCATGAATCTTTAAACAAAATATTAATAAAAGGAGATGAGGGTTACACGTTTTTAATGAGATTGCATCCCAACGTTGATGAGATGTATCTTTAAACACAAATTTATGAGACTACAACACAACGACAATGAAACCAAAAGACATCTAGAGGGCAACATATAGTCTGCATATTTGGTCCGAGGACACAGTTATCGTCCTTTGATTTATAGTCCCTAGTGTGGACAGTGTATAACTTGCAAATTTTGTTCATGCACTTTCCAAATTTTTTTCTTTATATTCTATGCATGAAATATTAAGTATAGAGATGGAATTGCATGTTAAAAAAAAATTGGGTGATAAATTTTGATGTAAAGTAGTGATTTGGTCTAGTTAAAAAAGGTCAAAAATTTGTATGTCTGAAGCTGTCAAACTGAATTATAGATCCCCTTAACATAGAATTGCCAATATTTTGAGTTAGAGCTGGTAGACTTTTCTATAATTTTGATATTATTTGTCAAAAAGTAGTACACTACACTAAAAATATTTTTGAGATAGAGCAGGTGCGATTTTTTAAATTTTCATTTATAATTGTCTAAAAGAAATGTACTACGAAATAACTGTGTTCTCGGGCCTGGGAACAGACAGGTGTCTATACAATATGTTTATGTATATAAAAAAACCAGGCTTACAATTTTGTACGACGATGCGAGCTTCTTCCACAAAAGACTCATCCGTGACGCTCGAATAAATAAAGTTAAAAGGTCAAATGAGATTTGAAGTTAAAGAGCATTGAGGATCAAACATTCCGAAAGGTTTTATATTATTGGAATACAAAATTGTATCAATTAACTTACCACCTCGGCACTCGTTCTCATAAATTGTTTTGCTTTATCCGACCAGATAGCAGGTACAGTGAGAACCCATCGAATTTCTGACCATTCAATGGATATCCCTTCAGTTTTCAGCAAGTCTACAAAATGGTCGGAAAGAGCTTTTATAGATTTTCCAAAAACTTCTGTGGCCAACATATTCTTGCCAACAATATCAGCTATTTCCATGTCACAATTCACATCCTAAATATGAAAATATTTGGATTTAAGAATTATTAAGATTTCATTCATTTACAAAAATAACAAATAATGGATGTACTCAGTTGTTTAATGTGCAGTCACAAATGTTTCAGTTGCAGTTTAACAGATTAACAAATAAATTAAATAGATAGATTAGTTGGATAAAGGCAGGATATAAAATCTTCCACTGGAAGAGCGTATGTTGGATAGGATAGCTTTGCAACAGGTCACCTACGGACGACTCACAGCGGATATGACCCAATAAACAAAGGGTCAAACAACCACAGAATACAACACATTCAAAAGAAACAATATTAATGACAGAGTTATCGGTCTACAAAATACGACTATATTGTGAAACTCATGAAAAGGCCTACTCAAAGGGTAGGAACAATTCGATAATATATATAAAAAAATAAAAACAAAAACAAACTAAATAATCCTATTAAGAGTAATAAAAGAACTTAAAATGATTCAAAAATTCGAAAAAAGCCATCTAGTAATTCAGAGTAAAATTGAAAATTGAAACGGGGAATGTGTCAAAGAGATGTATAACAACTCGATCAAAGATCAGAAAACAGCTCAAGGCAACCAATGGGTCTTCAACACAGTCAGCGAGAAAATCCCGCACCCGGGCTTTAGTAAATGTCTGTAAATCTTTACGAGAATTGAAGAAGATACCATATGTATATTCAAACTCAGTTGCCAAAGACAAACTGACAACATCATGGCAAACAACGAAGAGACAAACAACGTTCTACAAATCACAACATAGAAAACTAAAGATGAGCAACACGACCCTAAGCAAAAAGATACTACAGATAAACTAGGAGTCATTTAGTACATGTATTAAGTAAAGTAAAAGTAAAAAGTAGGATGAATCATAATGATCCATAATGTCTACATCGAAATTATAAGAATTGTAACTAATTCATATTTAATGTAAATAAATCTACCAAAGCCGCGGCGGACACATGTATGTTGGCATGAGAACGCTATCTGATGAGTTTAGCCCTTTTCAACTGATTTTTAAAGTTTGTTCTTATGTTGTACTGTTACACCACTGTTCCAGGTTAGGGGGAGGGTTGACGCCTTCAAACTAGTTTAACCCCGCCTCATACGCCTGTAATTCAGTGGTGTCGTTTGTTGCTGTATATCATATTTGTTTTTCGTTCATTATTTTGTACATAAATCAGATCGTTAGTTTTCTCGTTTGAATTGTTTTACATTTGTCATTTTGGGGCCTTTTATAGCTGACTATGCGGTATGGGTTTCACTCATTGTCGAAGACCGTACGGTGACCTATAGTTGTTAATTTCTGTGTCATTTGGTCTCTTGTGGAGAGTTGTCTTATTGGCAATCATACCACAAATTCTTATTTTTATATTATAGTAAAAAGTAGAATGAATCATTATGTCTACTGTGAATTTATAAGAATTGTAACTGTAATTCATATTTAATGTAAATAAATCTGCCAAAGCCGCAGCGGACACATATATTGGCAACCCGCTGCAATTGTTTGCACCTGTCCTAAGTCAGGAATCTGATGTTTAGTAGTTGTCGTTTGCTGATGTGGTTCATAAGTGTTTCTCGTTTCGCGTTTTTTATATAGATTAGACCGTTGGTTTTCCCGTTTGAATGATTTTACACTAGTAATTTTTGGGGCCCTTTATAGCTTACTGTTCGGTGTGAGCCAAGGCTCCGTGTTGAAGACCGTACGTTGACCTATATAATGGTTTACTTTTATATATTTTGACTTGAATGGAGAGTTGTCTCATTGGCACTCATACCACATCTTCTTATATCTATAAGAATGCTATCTTACGAACTGAGCAGTTATTTTTCTTTATTAAACTGATTTCATTTGTTTCAATTTTCAAAAAACTTTTATATATATAGCTTTGAACTTTGCCATAAACAGGAGTTCTCCAATATATATCTTTCAATAGTATTTAAACTAAATATGGACAATAAAGATAATGATATTAATTATTAATAAATTCATACCTTATTTTCATAAAGCCTCATTTTAAATTTGTCAAAGTAGTAATAATTTTTATGCTTGTTGTCAAGGACAAGCTCTGCGTACGCATCTTCAGCTTCGTATCCAAATGCCACAGTTTCTTTGTTCTTTCCCAATAAAAGACATGTTGGGGTTTTCAAAGAAAGAAGTTGTTTTTTCCCAGAATTCCAAGCTTGGTTGGCGTGGATTTTCAGAGGCTCTCGGAAGAAGTCGGATCTTGTCGAAAAAGCGTACCCAGAGTATGTTGTTCCAAAATCAATAGCAACGACCATTAACGGGTTAGCCATCACATACAATTTCTGTGACTGTAAGAATAATAATTTATTTTATGTCGCCTTAAACAATTAGAAGTGAATATTAACCATGATACTTTGATCGATTCACATTAAACCTAAAACAAATAATGCATGTCGGCCATTATTCAGATTTTTTGGTGGGGTTCGTGTTGCTTAATCTTTAGTTTTTCTATGTTGTGTTTTATAAACTGTCGTTTTTCTTTTTGTCGTTTTTTTTTTGCCATGGCATTGTAACTAATGTCTTGTTTTTCTTCGACGTATGAGTTTTGAATGTCCCTTTGTTATCTTCCGCCTGTTTTTTAAGACATTGGATGCATTTCAACCATGTCCCGTAGCGTAGACTGTTTTCATATTACTGGCTTTTGACTCCGGATATATATTTTTTTGACAGGTAACCTACTCTGTGGTAGGACATCTGGTACTCAGTCAAGTTAGAGCAAGTAAAAAACGTAAAATCTTAGACTAGTTTACAATCGGTGCAATTTTGGGAAAAAACTAAATTTTCCCATAATTTTAAAACCCCTCCCCCAAATTGCACCGATTGTACGCTTGATTTTACTTTTTTTTAATATGTAAACAGTCTATTATGCATGTTATGTACTGCATTTCTAAAAAAATATACATGTTTCCCGATCCTATTTTTTGTCGTCGGGTTTTTGTATTAATTCAGCTATAAAAATTATTTTTAAAAAATCACGACAGTCTCCCGATCCTATGTTTTGTCGACGGGGTTTTGTATCAATTCAGCTGTAAAAATTATTTTTTGAAAAATCACGACAGTCTATAAAATTATAAGATTTTTACCCTGCTGACTCAAGTTTAAAAACTTGTTCGATTAGGAAAACTCAAATCATTAGGGGAAATAATATAACCCCGCCTAGCAACAATTGAAAATCAATATTCTGTCCGTGAAAAATACTTCTACCTCCCCTCTCAAAAATAGAACACTCTTTTCCTCTTTTTAAACAAGAACAATATCAGCAGCTAATCTCGGTATTGAGCATCGTGATTTTTCACGATTTATTGTATTTGATTTTATTTTTAAAAAATGACCATATTACAAATATTATAGATTCGTATAACATCTGAAATTATGATTGAAAAATTATAAAATACTTACACGAAGGAACCACAAGACATTAAACCACTTTCTATCTCTAACAGTCTAACTGTTGTGTAAATACAATTTAATGATAACAAAATTTCTTTTGTTTTTATTCAATGGGTCTTTTAAAATTTAACGTTTGATCTACCAAGTTTAAATTACGCTTTCTTTTGTTTCGTTCGACAAACCATTTACATTATTGAAGTGTGAAAAAAAATAAACAAATAAATAAACAAGTGAATAAATGGTCTTAAACATGTAATTATATTTTATTCTCCCACACCTTACAATTTCATTGTACTTGTGAACCCTCTTCAAAACGTTTGATGTAGTTCTAACAGGCACCCCCCCTTTTTATGAAAAACTTGACCAGACGCATTTAATACATGTTGTGCCATTTTTTTCAATCGAATTTAAATGAGGTAGGTACATGTTTCTTTGAACCAATTAAAACATCAATTTAAAAAAAAAACACATTCTTTTTCCACAGGGTAAGCAAAAGGTATCAAAGTACTGAAGTACTGAAGTACTGAACATCGGATGACCGCAGGTTCTTGTGGATGGTCAAAAGCACATGTCACAGAAATAGATCACATCTCTTTACCTGAAACTGAGGTTTATTTACAGAGATATATTTTTTTTCTGATACAAGTTCGTGCATGGATGATGAATAAATGACAGGAAATTCAACCGCACCGTAATAACTATTATATTGTAGTGATACAAATCAGTATACCTGGGACTATTATACTAGTAATATAATAATAGTCCCAGAGTATACACTGGTTTGTTGTTATATATTATATTAATATTACGGTTGCATATGTATATTTAATTTTCATCTATTTGTATATCATTCTATTCTACTGTTCTAATTAAAGTGCAGTGCAAGTGCATGGTGGACACTCTTCTGTAAAAAAATCGATTTTTCTAAAAGATTGGATATGAGAAGCCATTCATTTTTTCCCGCAAAACAATAACAGAGTTATCGGTCCTTGCCGGGAGTGTAGCAAAACGTTCTTGAGATATTCTTCCGTAAGCTTTAACACAATTTTTCGGTACGTGTGCATAGATATCATCAATGATTTTTTACTTTTATAAATATAACTAACGACAACACATTTTCATATTATTAATTTGTGTTTCAATAAAAATATTTATAGGAGTATCCATTGAAAAAATGAATTTGAAACAAGCGGTAAGTAATGTTATTTTGCTCATGATAATGACCGCGGATCTATAATTTTTATAGATCGGTTGAAAACCCAAAACTAATTTGCTTAATGGAAATTTAGGCGATAGCAATACATCGAAATGACCTCACGGTCATCGCGATGTAAAAATCGGAATATTTTCTGTTCGGGCTAACATAATAAAAGATACTTCAACGTACGTTTTTTGTTTCCAACCCCAACCCATCCGAATCAGGAAGGTTTAGTAGTTTTTGTTTCAAATCCTTACCCCTACCATTACAAAATGTACATTGATAAATACATCAATTGTTGACTTAATTTTTTTGGGGCCCTTTATAGCTTACTGTTCGGTGTGAGCCAAGGCTCCGTGTTGAAGACCGTACTGTGACCTATAATGGTTTACTTTTATAAATTTTGACTTGGATGGAGAGTTGTCTTATTGGCACTCATACCACATCTTCTTATATCTATTTAATGTTGACGTTTAGGTGTCTTGTTCGTGTTTGTGGCGTTGGGTAGAGAAAGAGAGAGGCGAAAGATACCAAAGGGACACTAAACGTAGAAAATAAATTGACAACGCCATGGCAAAAAACGAAAAAAAGACCAAAAGACTTACAACAGTATACAAAACACAACATAGAAAATACTATAGACTGAGCGGTACAAACCCCACCAAAACCGCTGCCTCGTTGTCTTAAAACCCAAATAAGTTTTTATTCACATTAAATCGGCTTGTAACCAACAGGAACCATTACATTTTCGAGGGCCTGGATGGATGGGGTTTACAAAATAGAGAATAATAGACAAAATGAATTTAGAATAGAGAAAAATGGACTAAAAAAATAAAGAATATAGAAATGACCATACATTCCAGACCCTCAACTTTATAGGCTTAATATTCAGAACTGACCTTAAATACTCCCGGATAATGGATTACTTTATAACGAGGGTTTACATCAGTGTGTAAAAATAAAATGTTTGATGTTACATTTCAATAGAGAATTAATCAAACAATGATTAGCAGTAAAAAAACTGATATCAACAGGGAAACATGCTAAAAATGTTAACCACTTCGTAAATTAATTGAATATATAAATTTTATTTTTCTGACTGATCGTTGATTCAGATGATTTTGTTTTTTTGTATCATGGAACATTTACATATTGGTAGAGGTTTCTGGCTGCGTTCGGTGTTTAATATGTATAGAAGATTATGATCTACGTTTAATTCAAAGTAAGTTTGATTTTTGTTTTCTCATGGAAGTACAATGTATTACATTGACAATATAATACTTCCATAATCGCAGTTTTGTGGTATTCTTTTGGGAAATTAACCAAAAAGTTGATTAGACTCGTTCGATTTAGATCTTGATATATGTGAAATGGACGCTTCAAACCGTGTGTTTACATTTAGAGATCTTTTTTAGTTTATTTGTGTTGTCATATTGCTGTATCATTGACAAAGACCTCAGATTTGATCTTATTCATATCAATTGCATACTTACCTAATCCTCTTTGTGCAATACTTGCACATGAGGCCATCACCAAAACCCTCCACTGTTGCCTATCTCGTGCCTTTCTTTCTGCCTTTCTCAATGTCATTGCCATACTTTTGACTTCGCTCTCTATAGTGCGTCGCATATCAATTGCATTCATGCACATATATTGGTTAAAAAAAGAGGTAGGGCCAATTTCCTCTAAATTATTTCACATAAGGTTCATTTTGTAAAAAGTCTTTCAATCTTTACTTAGCTCACCATAGCATAGTTCCATGTGTGTACGTAAAAGTTTTTACAATATTATGGCTTATTTTTGACCAGATGACTATATCATAAACGCCTATAGATAGACCAAAGTCGAAAGTTTGACTGATATTTGCAGCATTTGAAATTAATCCAAAATATGCAATAGATGGTTTGGTCAAGAACAAAAATGATGTTGGAAAGAAAGATATAGTGTCTTTCGGATACAAATCAATTCACGTGAACAATTTGGAAATTGGTTACCTCTAAAAGCAACATTTAACGTTTGATAACATTTTGATTTTATGGGAGTAAGTTAGATTATGTATTGAAAATTTAAAGTCTGAAGTAAAAGATATAAAATTTTCAATTTACAATTTGCAGAAGAATTGGAAAACTTATGGATTTCAACACTGTGAGTGAAAAAAATACAGGAGAATTTGGCCCTACCTTTGTCCTAAAATAGAGTGATTCTATAATACGAAATTAAGTCTTAGACATTATCCCAACTTAGAATTATTGTAGATGAGGCTTTAGGTGTCAGACCACCAATTCACCCACTATAATTTGAAACATATGTAAAAGTAGCCCTTCCAAATGCAAGTCAAAAACATTGTCTTGTGTACTAATTGCGGTTTGCTGCCATACCTTTGCCATAAAACCATAAAATAGAGTGACGCTGTAGTACTATATTAGATTTTAAATAGAAGTCAACAAAACTGTCTGAATGCGGTTTGCTGACAATGCCTATTGATAACTAGTTTTGTTTGCTTTAGTTATTGTCAAAAATGATAACATTGATTGGAATTTATATCATTCTCAATTGACGTATCGTTCTTTATATCAATAAGTAATTTGTTTAATTGGTTTGTTATTATTCAGCATTGACAAGCAACGTTTGTTTCACACCCAATAACACATTTCCCAGAATTCCCTCGAGACACGTGACTGTATGCTTACTGGACAGGACTATACGTTACAGACCGGATTAATATTACAATGAATAATGTCATGGAAATCTAAGAAGAATAAGTACATTTTATTGTAATTTGCGTCCATTCTATTTATTAAAAAAAGACAGGAATAAAAAAAATGTATACACATAATATATTATACGCTTTAATATAAATGAACTAATTCACCGAAAAAGATTGTTGAACCTGTGGCCAGTACATGATGATGGTTTTTTTTTAACGACCTTGACTACCCATGAAGGTCTTGCACGGTCGGCCCAGTACATTACAATGGTCATTTAATACGATTTAGTTTTACAAATACAGTTGGTAAGGTTTTCGTGTCAGCATATAGTCTTCTATCCTCCAGCCCTTGACTAAACCAATTCATGAATATGGGTTTTCGAAATGTACGTGAAACGTATAAGCACAAAAATTCACTATTGTGTTGCCTGAAAATTAAAAAAAAAATATCCAACACCGTTTTTGTCTTGAAAAATATACCAAAATCGCATTGTCAGGTCATTCTACTAGCTCCCGCTTTCGCAATGGCTGATGAGTTATTTTTTAATTTTAGTTCCTTTGGAGTGTAATTTTTTTTCTCCAAATGGACCATTTTGGTTAAAACTGGCGGTTTCGTTCGTTTTTCAATCAGTTATTTTTTTTTAATTTTATTTCCTTTGGAGTGCATGTGATTTTTTACAACTTCAGAAAGAAGTTAGGGAAATAAGTCAATAACAGTTAAAAACAAACTGTAACGGTTAATGAATCATGGTTCGAATGAGGTATCAAAAATGTAAAACTGAGAAAATGAACTGAAAAAAAATCTCCTAATGACATATCGAAGTAGAATAAATGAATTATACGGATGGGATAGAAGAGGGTGTGGATTGGGGTTTACAGAATAGAGAATGGTGGGCAAAAAATATAAAGAATAGAGAAATATGGACCAAAAATTAAAGAATATAGAGAATAAATAGGTGCTAAAATATAAAGAATAGAGAATAATGGGCAAAAAGTGTAAAGAATAGAGAAAAATGGCCTAAGAAATTAAAGAATACAGAAATGAGGGACCCCCCATTCAGACCCTCATAGAAACTTCAATTCTTACCACCCCAATGGTTCAGTGGAATATAGAAATATGGTGTCGTATCCCAGGACCTCTTCAATCGGGCAGTAATATACCCATGCTTAAAAAGTATTAAAAAAATACC